TTTTGGGAACTTGAATAAATATCATGTTCAAAAAATTAGACATGCAGACAGCTATCGAAAAAGGTAAAGAATAAACATTTCTATTATTGACCAGAGTAAATCTACACTTCATTTGAGCCTGTACTTAATTATAATTTGTACATATGGTTAATATTGACATTTACTGGAAATAGAATGCGCACAGTATTTGTAGTTAAAACCTATGAGGCTTGAAATTCTGCTAACTTGCCCATTTTTTAATGATCCGTTTAAGCAGCTGCAGTCTGTTTGTGTATTTAGCTGTAAATCACATGACTTCATCACATGACAGATTCCCCATTGGCAATACGGTTGTGATTTGTGAGCGTTGACCTTTTGACCATTTGAGTCTGTACACACACCCACACACATGCAAACTCTGTCGCCTTTTGTTGCTAAAATTGGACTTGTTGACTGTTTTAAGTATCTTCCCACTTTCTAGTTTATTTCTATACTTCAAACATTTGTATGAAAAGGAAGCCATTGTGTCACTCGTCTCATTGGTTATAACGTCATGTCTTTAATTTGTCATGCCAGTTTTTTGTACATTGTTTTGCTCTTGTGCAGAGTGTGTAGCATAACCATTGATTTGACAAGGAATTTATTTTTGAACGAATCACTTGCCATTTCATCGAATTTATAAATGTCCACATCCTCCAAAAGCATGTTGACCGTGTTTTCGTTTTTCAGGGTCTGCTAACAAAGTGTCAGTCATACACTGTAAAAATTGCAAGCAGAATTGACTGATTATTATTTAGAAAATCTTTTGTTAAGTTGACTCTCTTTGTTTGTCATGTTTCTTTCTTTTTTTTTCATTTACCCAAACTTGACTCAATTTTATGAAGATTATAACATTGTAATATAACATGTATGATTTGTTTTTATTAGCTCAGTCAACATTAGCCATTCTGAATGGTTGGTGGATTTAAAAATAACTCTTCATTTAACTTTTAACCTTCACTGATATTATTTAATATGTATTTCCAAGTCCAATCATGAATATTAATTCAGATATGTTTTATTTGGTGTTTTACAGTGTACAAATGCCAATATACTCAAAATATTAACTTATATTTCAAGAATTGAGGATTTTAAAAGGTTTTGATTAATGTCTATACTATTTTGCCATCTTAAATGTCTCAGAATGATTGCACAGCATCCTTTCTTTGCAAAATTCAACTGATAATTTTTGTCCAAACATTAGGCTTTCCGATTAGCATCTACATCTCACTTCATGACTTCATTATCTTTCCTTCAGAAGCTTTTCTTTTGAACTCAGTACAGTTGACACCATTGAAATCAAGGGAATATGTTAACTGAAGGAGATTGATCTGGTCTAGGTTTCTGAAATGACTGGGATAGTGCAAATCAGCAATTGTGGAAGGCCTTAAGATTCAGTAATAATTGGCAAAGCATATTCATTACTGAGCTGATTTTGGCGCACCATAGTGAGCCACTGCTGTGTTAATAAGCTTTCATCAAATGTTTTTGTGTTTTAATAATGGAACGGATTGAGTTTGTTTTTTTCTTTTCTTTCTTTGCTATGGTAACCTCTCTAGATCTTAAAGTAAAATAAATGGCTGGTGGAGAATTTCTCTGTTTCCTATGTTTCCTGTGCCATCATCTGCAAGATGAAACATTGACATTTTGTTGTTTTTCTTTTAGTATTCTGTTCAAATTTATTAAAATGTGGCATGCTTCAGTCAAACTCAATCTAGTTCTCGTCAAAAATGTTTTTGAGAGAATTTGAGAAGCAAACTAGATCACCAAAGTAGACAGTTTCAACAAGTACTTATGCAAAAACAAGGAGTTGGATACAGTTGTGGCCAAAGAAAAACCCTACAACTTTAATTAAACCATCAAAATATGAAGAACATGCTATTTTGGAAAGAGGAAAGCACTAAACCTGATTAAGGTATTTATATAATGTAATTTGATTTTCATTTACTGTTTATATACAGTACAAAATTGTAGGTGAAGGTCCTGATGAATGAATGTTAACTGAAAAAAAAAAAAACAAATCTTTACTGTTAGATAGTTCAACAGTGTTCAGCTGTTCTGAGTCCGCTAAATCTGATCTGTGTGTAATGTTACATAATGCAGCATTAATGGTGAGGAACGACTGTAGGCAGAAAGGAAAAACATACAAATCTGTGTGCTACAGTACACACAAACAATACCAGACTCTGAGTGGTTCACAAACAATCCCAACAAAATCATTGTGATTTATTAACTTGAACTTGCTTCATATCGAATGCAATCTTCTGACATGCGCTGCAGAGATAGACAGTTCTCACTGTTTCAAACTGAGCATGCAGAACAGCCTAATCTTTGTTTTAAAAGACAGTCTGATTATTTATATGACAGCGGGGAGGGCATATAAATCTTTGTGTTGCACTTGCTATATTTACCAAGGGGTAAGAAATCCCCATCCTATAAACGAATAAGGCATCTTTGTTTGAAATTCTGGAGGAACAATGCAGTATTTGATAGACAGTGGAAGGAGAAGAAATGAAATTACAGAAATATTTAACTCTTATATTGATCAGTAAGCTTGTTTTGTTCACTACATGTACCTTAATTGTGCCATTTGCTCATGTAATGTACAAACATTTATTTAATATATGAATAAAAATCAGCCAAGGCTCATTGAAAATGCAGTACGTGCATAAGCCCTCTAAATTTGCTTTCTACATTTCTTTACATACGTTTTGTTATATGATTTAGATGCATGTCGTTCTTGTATATGTAAACTAAAAGGTGGGGGTTGACATACAAATAACCTAAACCAGCAAACACTGACCTAAACCCAACCAATAGTGTTTTCTAAAGCAAACGGCCTCATAGCTTTCTTAAGATTTGACCTTTTTTTCTCTTTTGTGGAACTGTGCTTAACCAGACCTGAGCACACTGCTTCATATGTATAGCATAACTCTGTGAGGTAAGTTTTCTTATGAAGATAGATAGAGTAGGTGAGGCAAATATCCTATTACAAATCATAGATAGACACTGTTAAGTTGTTTTTCAGCATTTATTTGGTGTTGTGTAATGAGCTGCACAAAAATGATCCTACTTTATTGCTAATATGTCTCTGTAAATAAAATTAGTGTGAAAAGTAGCTAAATTGTTGGTGTCATATTTCCCCGTAGTGTTCATATTACCTTGTATCTGCAGTCAAGTGTAAGATAATGATTTATAGGGAGTGTGTTGCAGCATTTCATCATGTTTTTTTTGTGTTTGTTCGCAGAACTTTTAAGTTTCAGTTTCCAATCCAAATCAAGTGTTTACATGTTCTGCTGATCGGATTAGAAAAGATTCAAATCACCCTTTACAGTCTGAATGAGACTTCTATTTGATTTTGCCAGTTCATTCCCATTAAAGTGTTTACATATTTGCTTTTTTTTTTTTTTGTTTTGTTTATGCTAGCTCAAATAAAGCTATTTTGGCTATTTTTAAAAGCAGTTAGTATCAAACCATGAATGTGGAGAGAAACAGAAAATAGTAAGAAGTTTATGGGTCTGTGGTCCATGGTCTAGTTGATACTTATTCTAAAAAGGCCATGAATTTGAAGGGGACCTATTATCTAAAAAGCTTTTACAAGGAGTTTAAACACTGTTTGTGGCAACAGTGTGTGAATTTAGCCTCTAATGGTAAAAATGAATTGATTATATTTTTATAATCACACTTCATAAAGACAGCCTGCAGAAACACTTTGAATGATATTCTCATTTTGTACATGTACATGTCATCAGAGTGGGAAAGCCCTGCCCATTAGTGACGATCTCTTCCTCATTAGCATAAACAGCCCTGAGTGAGTAGCAGCCACTATGGCACTATGTGATACATAAGCATTTATAGCTCCACCATCTTTTATTCGCTTTCAAATTTAAAGCAACAGCGACCAAAATGTAAAATCTGGATTACAGCCTAAAAGGGGCCGTTTTTAAGAGTTTTGAAGCAATATTTGTTGAGTATTTTTGAGCTAAATCTTCACATGCACACTCTAGGAACATCAAAAGACATATATATAACATATATATATATATATATATATATATATATATATATATATATATATATATATATTGTATTATTATTAATTCACCATTTCAACAATGATGTCTTTGTTTATTAAAGCAGTTTCCTAAGTGAGGGTCTCTTGGTGATTTCTGGAAGACAAATAAAATTTATTAAACTATGAGAATTACCATATTTCATTAATAACCCACGGAAGATAGAAATCATAGTTTTTAATAGTTTTAAATAGTTTTTAGTAAAAAAAAACATGCAGATGAAAAGCCATTAGCCTTTAATTTTTTTTTCATAGAATTGGTGTGTTACATTAGATTAACAGCACAGCAATAGCATCAGCTGCAGCAGGTTATTTTATTGCACCAGGTTAAACTTTCTGAAGCCTTTATGACAATCAAATGCATTAAAAATAAATACAGGCCACAACTGAACATCGAGGATGATCTATGAGTGGCGGTCCCTAAAATTTAACCAAGAATAGACTGAAAACATTGTGTCCACCCGTCTCTTTAGTTGAGGTAATATTACATTAAACAAATATATAAATGACTATAAAACTGATATGGTTGTTAGACTGTTGCATTTTTTTGTGCTGTCAACATGCTCATGTTTATATCGGCCTATTGATGTGTGTACAACGTTTGTATATTTACAACCAACTCTGAGGAATTTGGAGGAATTTGTAATTTTATGGGTTGTGGGCTGAAAAGTTTGGGAACCCCTGTATTAAAGCAGCGTTTGTATTAAATCTATATCAAATCAAGAACTGATTATCAAATTAAGAACATGGGTAAGGACATCTTCAGTACTCTTTTCTATAACTTATTTGAAGCTGCTGCCCCAAATCCAACTGGTCTTATTATCTTATAATCCATTTAAAAAACATCACAAGAGAACAAGCACGTTCTGTGATGCTGTGATTGACATTTCTTCCTCTTGTCTTTCTCTAGTTGTGAGGAGCAGTTGTGCTCTGTTGGAAAAAGCTGCAGAAGACCCAGTGCATCCAAATCCTCTTCAATCCAGTCCAGCAGAAGACAGCGATGGTAAAGCACTGATTATTCATTTGTTTCTCATTCCTTCTCCAGTGGTTTTCTTCCTGTTGTTTCTCTCTATTTTTCCTAAATGGAGTTTGTCATTGGAGTCACCACAGTGAACTGAGAAGAATCATTGATTTGGTTAAGATTTCCACCCAGGGCACTTCCCGTCGAGACTTTTCACTCGAATGTCAGAGGGGCTTTGTGGTTTCCCTCTTTGCGGTCATTCTTCATCAATAGTCTTGCACCATTCCAAAGCTAACTTGTCTGTATCTTTCCACTGGAATGCCTGATGACAAACAGAAAGCCCTCAAGATATTCTCGCTCTTGTCCAAACTGACATACCCTTGTCTTGACTGTTTAATTTGATTATATTTTTCCGTTTTTGGATGGACTTCAGAGCAACAGAGAGTTTAAAAAAATACAGTTTAATTGCGTCTTTCTTGAGGCTGTTCCAGTGTGAACCCAATTGTCCTCCCAAATCCCAAAAACAAGAAAGCAATTTTTTTCTTAGGCTTTTTAATTACTAGCAGATCATTCGAAAGATAATGTTTTCTGGATAAAAACAAGGATGCATGAAATTGATCAAAGAGAGAGAAACACTTTTATATTTTTTGTTTGTAGAAAATGTTGCTGTTTTAAATTTTCTTATATTAAACAATACTGGGAGAAATAAATGATGTCATGCTTGATGATGATATTAAAATCAGCAGCAACAACATTACTGGTTATGACTTCTGAAAAATACAAGTAAAATAGACAATTGTCGATGGATGTAACATGTCAAATATTAATGTTTTTTTTTGTATTGATACACAAAGTACAGTATAAATAGATATTACAGTTTTTCTCAGTGGCTTTTGTGCATTTCTCGCAACACTATTTACATTTGCTCAACAGTTAATGCATTTCTCATAGCACTTTCTCATTCCTTCCAACAAATCGCAAATGATTTTGGACATGCATCAATTGCTTTCATACAACTCTCTGCTGTTTTATATCATTTACTTATGTCATGTCAGTCTAATGAACTAAACTTGTGAATGCTGAATAGTCATTCCATATAAAACTAAGAATCGGTCAAGCAAATTTAATAAAAATCTTTAAATCTTTTTGTTTTTCTTGAAAATGTCTTCTAAATTGAGTTTCATGAATGATTTAAAGACTTGTGTTTGTTGTAGGTTCAGTTCCAATATGTACTGCAATATTGTGTACAGTTGTGCACAGTTCTACCCAAAGGAAGTTTATGTTTGTTGTAAATAAGGGTGTGTTTATTCTTTTGCACAAATTGTGAATAAATTAGAATTGCAAAGGACAAATGCCGTAAAAATGTGAAACGTACCTCACTAAATGCAGCAGTTTTCAAATGGCTGTGCAAATAGTATACAGTGTTGTATTGAGCATTTTCAGGAAGTTTCATCACAATCTGACTTTATTGCATCGGAAAAAAATTACAGAGTAAACTGTCATAATGGAAAGATAACAAAGCTATTTGACTATCTTGTTCATAAACAATGGTGTCAGGACTTTTCATCTTAATGATTCAATCTAATTCAATTCAGCTTTATTTGTATAGCGCTTTTACAATGTAGATTTTGTCAAAGCAGCTTCACATAAATGGTCATAGTAACTGGATCAGGGTAGTTCAGTTTTTAGTGTTTAAGTTCATTTCAGTTATGATACTGACACTTTCATTGGCAACAATACTTGCTTTTGAGGAATGAGCTATCCATTTTGAGCAAGTGACACGCTTTTACAGGTTATCTACTAGGTTTTGCAGTTTGTACTAATTGTTTTAAGAAATGCATTAACTGTTGTTCAAATGTAAATAATGTTGTGAGAAATGCAACAAAGCGACTGAGAAAAACTGTAATATTTTGTATTTAAATTTGTCTTTTATTTTAAAATAGATAGATAGATAGATAGATAGATAGATAGATAGATAGATAGATAGATAGATAGATAGATAGATAGATAGATAGATAGATAGATAGATAGATAGATAGATAGATAGATAGATAGATAGATAGATAGATAGATAGATAGATAGAAAGACAGACAGACAGACAGACAAACGGACGGACGGACGGACGGACGGACGGATGGGTGAATGGATAGATAGCTCAGTGGTTAGCACTGTCACATCACAGCAAGAATGTCGCTGTTTCGAGTCCTGGCTGGGTCAGTTGGTATTTCTGTGTGGAGTTTGCATGTTCTCCCTTTGTTGCTATCGGTGCTCTGGGTTCCTCCATAGTCCAAAGACATGCTATATAGTTAAATTGAATAAACTAAATTGGCTGTAGTGTAAGTGTTTGAATGTAAGAGGGTGTTTTCCAGTACTGGGTTGCGGCTGAAAGGCCATCTGCTGCATAAAACATATGCTGGATAAATAAAGGGACTAAGCCTAAGTAAAATGAATGAATAATATCTTTTATCTATATTTATTTATATAGGAGAATACCAAATCTCTAGACATTTGACTTTTGTCTTTCCATAGTGTCTGATTCAGTGTTTATTTTTTTTTCCATAAGGCCAGACCTGTCTGTGTTGCTGACATATATGCTATTTTAACTTTGCAGTTCCACATATCCATACATATTAATCTTTTCTTTGTTTATTATTGCCATTTTTGGTCATCGTATGCTACTGCAGTGTGAGTAGTGTCGTCCCTTTAACCCTCTGATATGTTGCAACTTCATCTTTCCTCAGTTTCGTTCTGTGATTTCGAGTCTCCGTGTTCTTGGACATTATCCAGTCACAGCACTGGAGGAGACTGGTTTATCACTTCAGCACAGCAGCACAGATCTAACAGACGCGACACCCAGCCTATCAGAGATTACTCCACTGGAAAATCTGAAGGTAGCTTCTCTTCACTCTTATATTTTGAAGCTCAAATCAGATCTAACAATAACTAGTGTACATTCAGGTTCTTCTCTGACCATTAGATGTTTAAAAAATTTGCTGAACGCATTTACTATAAACTCCATGAGCACATAAATTCAGTTGTGAAGTTTAGTCATGACAAGTGTGAAACTACTAACAAAAAGAAAATACACAAATGTAAATTTCACATAGACAAAGCAGGTATTTGTACAACAAAATACAAGTTGTATAAAACTGATTATAATTAAATGTTCCTTGAATATTTAAAAGATAGAGCACTTACGGACATGTATTTTAATGTTTAACTCTTGGCCGCACACTGAGAGAAACCGAAAGTAACCGGAGTATATAATACAGTAGGTGGAGGTCAAAACCATAAGTGTTTATGCGACTGCACAACAATTATAGTAATTCAAAAATATGTTTTGTTGGGCCGAATCTCGTGATTTTTTTTTAAAGTCAGTTGTGGGATGGATGGAGGATGAGGGTTGGCCGCAAATGGCAGTTTGAGACCCCTGTATTAAAAGTATCCAACAACTACATGCTAAATAAAACTTCACTTCTAGATTAAACAATTACTTACAGACGTTTAATCTCAATGGGCCGTGAAATGTAAGATGGGCTTAGATAGTAGAGGCCTTTGTGAACACTAACCTACTGTAATTTGGCTTTCTTCCTCTTAAAACAGGAACACTAAAAAAAATGATTCATTGTATTAACAATTTTCTTCAAGGTAAGTAATTGCATTGCATGTGATTTTTCAATTTGCAACAATTTCAAAAAATCTTTTTTCACATTGTCATTATTGGGTATTGTGTGTAGAATTTTGAGGAAATAAATGAATTTAATCCATTTTGGAATAAGACTGTAAAATAAAAAAGTGAAAAGTCAAGCGCTATGAATACTTTCTGGATGCACTGCAGCGCACAGCTTTTTCAATTAAAAAGTTGCTCAATACGTAACACAAACAAGTTAAATTTAGTTATGATCAACTTATTTTTGTTTCAATTCAGCCCAGTTTGCAATCACTTACCTTAAATCCTTGTCAATCCAATGAATCATTTTTTCAGTGAAGCCAGGATAAACTAGAGGTGAAATTCAAATTCATAGCCCAAAATGAATATCAAAATAAAGGTCATGATGAGATGAAATCTAAAGTCCAATACACTGACAGTTTCTTTTTTTTCTGCTGAACACACAAAAAAAGATATTTAAAGAAATGTACAAAGCTATTGACTTCCATAGTATTTTTGGCATACTATGGTTGTCAATGGCTACTGGTGTTCAACAGAAGAAAGAAATTCATAAAGTTTGGAACAACTTTAAGGTGAAAAAATGATGAATAAATTAAGAGGTCAGATGCAAAAACCATATGGATAATGCCTCCTATGTCTATGTTCAGTAGTTAAGTGGAAAAGAAGCTATTCATTATCATAAAAGTGAAATTACTGAACACAGACACAAGAGTCTAGGACAGTGGTCACCAAACTTCTTCCTGGAGGGCCGGTGTCCTGCAGATTTTAGCTCCAACCCTAATCAAACACACCTGAACAAGCTAATCAAGGTCTTACTAGGTATACTTGAAACATCCAGGCAGGTGTGTTGAGGTAAGTTGGAGCTAAATCCTGCAGGGACACTGGCCCTCCAGGACCAGGATTGGTGACCCCTGGTCTAAGAAAACTGTATGTTTTAGAAGAATATTTTAAATGTCATTTAGCTGTCTCTGCCATCTGAACTCTTCAAAAGTTCATTTGTAGGTGATCTTTCCCTTTACGTATCTTAAAAAAATATATTGTGCACAGAGCTTTTTTGTTCAATTAGTTCAGTTTAATCATTGAAAGTAGTAAGACTATCCTGTGTTTCACCAGGACATTTTCTGCTGCTGAAGCCCAGCTCCAGTCATCTGTCTGCAGGCAGATGTAGTTTCCACATGACCAGTCCTGTAGTTCTCAGCAGTGGGCCATTTTGTCATCTCCAACTCGCTCGCTTTCAACCAGAGCCACACGCTGGAAACATATCAGCCTTCGTGAAGCACACCGACTCTATCGACATCAAACCCATTGACCTTACAATCAAAGAACAAGAAAGCGACAGGTGAGATTGAGGTTCTTCAGCTCTACATGTGTTGACTCAAGCCTCCATCTATTAGCAGATTTCTCACAATTATTGCATTTTAAAAGCAAACTGTGAAATATGAAAACATTTTAAAGAACTGTTTTGCTAATTTAATACATTTTAAAAATACTCTTACCAGCCACTTTAGAAGGTCCACCTTACTAGTACCAGGTTGGACCCACTTTTGCCTCCAGAACTGCCCCAGCCTCAGTTTCCTGTTCTTAGCTGACAGGAGTGGCACTCAGTGTGGTCTTCTGCACACCTCGCTTGTAACGAGTGGTTATTTGAGTTACAGTTGCCTTTCTATCAGCTCAAACCAGTCTTGCCATTCTCCTCTGACCTCTGGCATCAGCAAGACATTTGCACCCACACAACTGCTGTTCCCTGAATATTTTTCTCTTTTTTGACCATTCTCTGTAAACCCTAGAGATGGTTGTGCGTGAAAATCCAAGTAAATCAGAAGTTTCTGAAATACTCAGACCAGCCCATCTGGCACCAACAGCCATGCCACCTTTAAAGTCACATAAATCATCTTTCTTTCCCATTCGATGCTCTGTTTAAACTGCAGCGGATTGTCTTAACCATGTCTACATGCCTAAATGCATTGAGTTGCCGCCATGTGATTGGCTAATAAGAAATATAAGAAATACCTAATAAAGTGGCCGGTGAGTATATATAATGTTGTTCATAACAAGGATGAACTGTATTTTATTTATTTTTATCTATTCTTAGATCAATATTGTAAACAATCAAACTCATGTGATAAACAAGTTTTAGGTTAAAAGTAATCTAAAATTAATTTAGTCAGATTACAATTCTTATGTACTATTTTTATGCAATATGTGTTAAGAATGGGCTACAAATTAGTAATCTACCCAGCAAAGGGTTTATATGCGTATATATATATATATATATAGTTTTTTTGTGTACATTTTAAGACGCATACCACACACACACATTGTTGAAATCACACTCACACACATACACAAAGTACAGTAATATCTTGATGATGATGATGCTGTTGCCATGGTTAAAACAAATGCTTAAGTTAGGGACCAAAAACTGCAACCTGCTTGATTTTTTTTAAATATATCATTATTTTAACATTTTTAGCTCACTCACCAAAGATTTTGTTACTGTATTTGTACTGTATTTCCTAAAATTTGATGAGGACTTCTAAAGTGCCTCCCCCCCTTTTGCTTTTTTTCGCAGTAGATAAAAGTGCAATGTCATATATGTCTTATTAAAAAAAATAGTGTAAAGCAGCAGCCCGTACTCACAACAGAAAAAAGACTTTGTTATGGAGATGTAGTTGTATAGTATTGATTTTGTTGTGCTGGGTACATCACGAACAAGATGGATAAAAAGCATTTTGTTTCTAAAAGTAGAACCTGATGTTTCTTTTGGCATAATTGGTTCTGACAGAGAGCTAGGAATAGACGGTGATGCAATGCAATTTGGAACGAGCCAGTACAATCATGATGCGGGTAATACACTTTTACTTTCTGCATTTGGCTGTATGGATCTGAGCCTAAAGGAGGTTACGCCATGGAGTGTGGTGTATCATACAAATCAGTCATATGTTTAATAATGTTGTCTAACTCGCCAGATCTCTTTAGTACAGTATGAGTTAGCCAACCACTCTTGTACATCTAATGACGCTCTCTACCATCCATGACATTTGGTAAAATTACATAATGTAAAACACGGCCAGCTTTTGTCTTGATGTTATTTAGCTTGATTTTTGCCCACGTTTGGTATGGTCTGAATAAACCAAACAGTAAAATCTAGATAATAACTCCAGAATATTAAACATGATTACACATACAATAAGGTTGCTTTTCTTATCATTAGTTAATGCTTTAATTAACCTAAATTAACAATGAACAACACATTCTTAGCACTTATTTAATATTTGCTAATGTTAACTAAATATATTATTGTGTTAGTTATCCCATTAGTTTACCTGAACTAATGGTGAACAACATTAATTAATGCCGCCTTATTGTAAAGTACTTTTTTTTACAATAATTTTTAAACTGTACTTTTTTTTCAGTGGACGTGGAAATGATTTTTGCTTTGTGAATACAAAGCATCAGTTGCTTCAGCTTCATTCATAAATTCTCTCCTGTGGCTTCATGGGATAGTAATGTGTACTTCAAATGCACATTTGAAAATTTCATCAGAAGTAGTGGGTCATTTGGATAGTTTTTGCTCAGTGCTATGAATTTGGACATAATTTTTTGTCAAATACTGTTGTTCTCTTACTGTGTTATAGAGAGTTTTCACAAAGAAGTGTCATCAGTCTGCCATTTTGGAGGCACAAAACATAAACAATAGACCAACCAGAAACCCATATATTGTGGTTATTATTGCTGTTGAAAACGATCAATTAGTTTCATGTTTTGGGCTGTAGTCTTTGGTCAGACAGCAAAAAACATGTGAGTACTTTAGACTGCCCAAAGTTATAACAGATCAAATCAAAGAGAGAGAGAGGGAGAAAAAAACTGACACACAAAAGGAGTTTTTGGTTGGCCAAACTGATCCAGGATTTCTAGAGCAAGAATCTTCACTATATCCATGTTTGTTTTTATCTCATCAATATACAGTTGAAGTCAGAATTATAAGCCCCCTGTTTATTTTTTCCTCCAATTTCTATTTAACAGAGATACATTTCTACACAATTCTAAACAAAAAAGTAGTAGTTTTAGTAACTCGTTTCTAATCACTGATTTGTTTTATTTTTGCCATGTTGACAGTACACGACAGTTTGCTAGATATTTTTCAAGACACTTCTATACAGCTTTAAGTGACATTTAAGGCTTACTGTAACTAGGTTTATTAGGGTAACTAGGCAGGTTTGGGTAATAAGGCAAGTTTTTGTATAATGATGGTTTGTTCTGTAGACTTTTTTATTAATGTTTTTTTGTATTTATTAAAAACTGCTTATATTCTAGCTGAAATAAAACAAATTAGACTTTCTTCAGAAGAAAAAAAAAATTATCTGACATACTGTAAAAATGTGCTTGCTCTGTTAAACAACATTTGGGAAATATTTAAAAAAAGAAAAAAAATTCAAAGGGAAGCTAATAATTCTGACTTCAACTATATTCCTTTCCTGCTTACCAATTATTCAGTAGTGCATTACATCCAAGTATCTTCAATATGGCCGTACATTGGTGTAACTGATAAAATCAAGACATACAGTGGCATGTGTGATGCAGCCACTGAGAAATGATTTTTTGGTTTTTGGTTTTGGTGTCCAGCTCGCAGTGGGAGGTCTTGGAGGCTGTGATTGGTCAGTTGAATGAGCCCTTCCAGGTGACAGTGCAGTACTCTGCCTGTAGCAGTCATGAAGTTGGGTTTCTGGCATTCGATTCACTGGAGCTGAAGAACTGTGTCATGGGTAACAGCTTTTTATCTGTTCTCAAATAATACCTAACTGTGTCTTATGATTATTACCTTTCACTGTAAAAAATATTCTGTGTAATTTTTGGTTTATTTTTCCATTTATTTAATTTTACCATCAAAAATTGACCGATTAGAGATTATATATTCAGTATATTATACATAATATGTATTATATTTACTGTGGTTTTAGCGAAAGTCTTTAAAAGTTTGGTTCATGTTATTGAATTTGCATTGAGAAGTATTGGAATGTGGTTTGGGATTCATGCAACTCTGTATGAAAATAAATGTTGTGACTATACATATAGAAACTATTTCATGGCTGTTGCATGCCAAAATCAAAGCTTAAGGTGGTCCAATGTAATATTAAAGTAAGCAAATTTTATTTTTGGACAGGCAGTGTATATAATGGTTTTGTGTGGTTTTCTGCAGGTGATGATTATGTGGATTTGGGTTCCGACTGTGAGAAATACTCATCTCTTCAATGTCATTCTGGAGGCTGCATTGAGAAACAAAGAGTGTGTGATTTCCACACTGACTGCCCAGAAGGGGAGGACGAGGGCTTAATATGCAGTGAGTGAAATTCAATATTGTAAATGTTTTATAAACCATGAAGATGTGTAATTTTTGTTTATCAGTCTGTCATCAATTGTGAACACAGCTTTCAAAATCTGATGCCTTTTCAGTTTTATGCAATTACTGTTGCACACATCAGATGATGGAGCTCTTAGGTCTTAAAGAAAGTCTGACATCTTTTTGTTGTTTTAAATGTAAAGAACGGGCTGCATTCCATCAATCCATTATTTTAATTTATGATAATCGAAACATTTCTTTGAAAGGTGGCCTTGGAGCTATAAATCCTTGTTAGATTTGCGAGATCATTCCTGCCAGTTTGCATTTTGTTGAAAGCGCTCAATTAAAGTATGAACAGCAGTGTGACAGGGCTGAATAAGAGGGTGCGCTGAGTAACCGGCTGGCTGTGTGTCGCTCACATTAGCTGTATTAAATCTTTAAGCTATGATAAAATTTCTAATCCTTTCACTGGAGGCGTTGGATTAGCAAACCTGCCCTGTCAAAGTTTTGCACTCATAAACTACACAATGGGCCTGAAAAGTATTAGTGTTTGCTGTCTTTCAGGGAAAATTTTTGCATATTTATTGATTTATTTCATCTTCATTAACATTTATACGGTGCTTATGTGATTTATATGTATAGTCTGTAAACAAAGAACTTGTGATTTTAGTATTTGTCACTTCCACAAAGATATAAAAGGTGAGCGAAAAGGCTCATTAGCATGTTCTGTACATAAAGCATTAAAGAGTTATCTGCTACACATATTGCAAATATATTCTGGTAATTATTCTGGAATCAAAAACTATAATCCTAAAGTGTAATTGGCTGCTGAAAAAAGTCAGATTTATGTGAGGTTGAAAAACTAACATTAATATGGTAAATCAACAGCATCTTATTAATAATTTACAATTCAGTTCAATTCAATTTATTTGTTTGTCATAAAAATTGTTATCAAACATTAAACATTAAACAGCATGAGTGTTCTCAACATTAAAGTTGATTTTTTTTTTATTCTACAGTGCCAAATGAGCAAATTAGAATTTAGAATTTCTGACTTCGTCTCAACTACATATATTTGCTTAAAAATGTTACATTCATTTTAAATTGTAATGTTCGAATATTCAATCAATTCCATGCGTGTTCAAAAAAAAAAGTTGAGGAGAGGTTTTACTTCAATGTCAAAATTCGTAGCAATTTATTGGATACAAATGAATAATTCGATTCACGGAATTCTGTTATCCTCAATGCAGTGCAAAAGTTACATTAAGGAGGTGCGCAACCCCTTCCTTTTCCTGACTCCAACTTATATAGGCAGCTGATATTAACAGGTGGAGTTTTGTGAAATTCGCCATTTGTCAATCATTGTTCAGTCCTCTATTGGCCGCACCTCAGATGTAAGTCCTCTTTTTCTATGAATTCTCTGCAGAATAATAAAAGCATAAAACTTTTTGTGCTCTGTTCAGTTTTTACACCTTTGTTCAGACAGGAAGTTTCTGCAGAACTGAATTTAATTTTGGACCAGCACTTATCTACTTCTGCAAAAATGCTAATTAGTATGCACAGCATCTCACACACAACAGTAGAAGTTCAGTTAATATATGAGCCTTACATGACCTTTACAAAAAATAGTTTGATTAAAAGAAAAAGAGACAAAAATAATAAAAAACTGATTCCTATTTTCTAACAGTAACATTACTTTGCAGTATTACTGTTTTTATGTATTTTTGATCAAATAATCACTACTTTATGCCTCATTCACACTAGCAGCGACTTTGTAGCTGCCTATCCCTCTGGCTAGCGATGTCCTGCAAACGCAGGTCTAGGTCTACAGCACGGAGAATACAACCAGCCTCTGAGTGAGCTAAGAGAGGGTCACGTGAGCTCCACATGTTGCTCCCATTGATTGTTGCTCAAGAAAGTCAGTCTTCTCAGCATTCTCACATTGCTCGACATGCCAACTTGGTCGCCAGCAGTCGCTTTCGTTGAAGGAGGTCGCCGGGAGTCGATTGCCCTCCGTTAAAATGAACGGTCGCTTGTTGCTTTGCTGCTGCAAGTTGCTTGTAGTTTGAAAGTGGCTTTAGTGGTCAAGATGTCAAATTCAACTCCCAAATATGATAGTAAATATACAGTGGGGGAAATAAGTATTGAAATGGTCACCATTTGTTTCAGAAAACATATTTTGAAAGGTGCTGTTGGCTTGAAATCTTCACTGGATGTTGGTAACAACCAAAGAAATACATATGTGCAAAGAAAGCAAATCTAATATAGTTATGTGTAATAAAATGAAATGATGTAGAGAAAAAGTATTGAACACATGAAGAAAGGGAGGTGTAGAAAGTGAAAGCCCAGACAGAAGCTGAAATCTCTCATAAGTTATTCAGCAACCCCCTGCTCTTCCTCATTGTAAATTAATTTTCACTGCTTCAGTTCAACTACTTTACCAGGATGATGAAATGGAACCAGGGTGGACGTTTCAGCAAGACAAGGATCCAAAACACAGCCAAGGAAACTCTCAAATGCTTTTAGAGAAAGAAAATCAAGCTGTAGAATGGCCCAGCCAATCACCTGAATCGAATCCAATAAAAAATACAAATTAAAGACCAGATTTGATGGAGGACACCCAGAGAACCATCAAGAGTTTTACGCTCTGTTGAGGTCTGTGAAAAAACTCACACCTGAGCAATGCATTGGACTATATAAGAGGCGTCTTTAAGCTGCCATTACCAAAAAAAGCCTTTTATATAAAGTATTAAATACATTTCAGTAGTTCAGTTCTTTCTCTTTGTGTCATTTCATTGTTCTTACACAATTACAACTAATTTTTAGGGACCGAGCACCGAAACGGTGCGTAGGCCCTATTGGAATTGCTCTGTTTATTATTATTAGGGACCGAGCACCGAACGGTGCAAGGCCCTATTGGAATTGCTCCGTTTTTAGGGACCGAGCACCGAAACGGTGCGTAGGCCCTATTGGAATTGCTCCGTTTTTTATTATTATTAGGGACCGAGCACCGAAACGGTGCGTAGGCCCTATTGGAATTGCTCCGTTTATTATTAGGGACCGAGCACCGAACGGTGCAAGGCCCTATTGGAATTGCTCCGTTTATTAGGGACCGAGCACCGAACGGTGCAAGGCCCTATTGGAATTGCTCCGTTTATTATTATTAGGGACCGAGCACCGAAACGGTGCGTAGGCCCTATTGGAATTGCTCCGTTTTTTATTATTATTATTATTATTATTATTATTCCGCCCCCTATCGGGGCACTTTTGAGGGTCTAAACATGCCCGAAAACTCATGAAAATTTGCACACACACCAAACCCGGTGTAAATAGCAGGATGATATGGGTCTCGGAAGTGGGCGTGGCAAAATGACTCGACAGCGCCACCTAGAAAAATTAAACGGACGAGCCCCTGATCCACGAATCACACACATGCACGAAAATTGGCACACACCTCAAACATGCCAAAACATACGAAAAAGTCTCCTGGAGCCATATCTCAAACCCAACAGGAAGTCGGATATTTTTGACTTCCTGCGGCGAAAAAGTGGCGTTTTTGCCATTTCCAGGCGTTGTGTTTTAACGAACTCCTCCTAGGGATTTTATCCGATCGACACCAAAATTGGGTTATGTTATCTAAAGGCCTTGGCGATGTTAAATTGCGAAGCTTTAGAGTTTTCGTCGATGGGCGTGTCCGTGGCGGCCTCGCAAACTTTGATGATTCGCCACAAAACAGGAAGTCATTATAACTCAGGCATGCAATATCCAATCGGCCTCAAAATTCACACGCTTGATAAGAGTCCTGACCTGAACACGTTTACATGCCAATATCCAGATACAGTTATAGCGCCACTTGCTGGCCACAGGAAATGACATGTTTTAGAGTGTAACAAACTCCTCCCACAATTTTTTTCGTATCAGCACCAAATTTGACTGGTGTTATCTGAAAGCTCTAGCGATGATATATTGTGAAGATCTAGAGTTTTCGGAGAGGGGCGTGTCCGTGGCGGCATGACAAACCTCAATGCTTCGCCATGGAACAGGAAGTCCTTATAACTCAACCACACAAAGTCCGATCTGCCTGAAACTTCACATAGTTGATAAAAGTCCTCTCCTGAACACATCCCCATAACAATATTGAAGTGGGCGTGGCAAAATGACTCGACAGCGCCACCTATAAAAATTAAACGGAAGAGCCCCTGATCTACGAATCACGCACATGCACGGAAATTGGCACACACCTCAAACACCTCAAAACATACAAAAAAGTCTCTTGGAGCCATAACTCAAACCCAACAGGAAGTCGGATATTTTTAACTTCCTGCAGCAAATAAGTGGTATTTTTGCCATTTCCAGGCGTTGTATCTTAACAAACTCCTCCTAGGGATTTTATCCGATCGACACCAAAATTGGGTTTTGTCATCTAAAGGCCTTGGCGATGTTAAATTGCGAAGCTTTAGAGTTTTTGTCGATGGGCGTGTCTTTGGCGGCCTCGCAAACTTTGATTCGCCACAAAACCGGAAGTCATTATATCTCAGGCATGCATTATCCAATCTGCCTCAAAATTCACATGTTTAATAAGAGTCCAGACCGAAACACGTTTACATGCCAATATCCAGATACAGTTACAGCGCCACCTGCTGGCCACAGAAAATGACATGATTTACACTGTAATAAACTCCTTCCACAAACTTTATCGTATCAGCGCCAAATTTGAGGGGTGTCATTTGAAAGCTCTATCAGTGATATATTGTGAAGATCTAGAGTTTTCACAAAGGGGCGTGTCCGTGGCAGCATGACAAATCTCAACTCTTCGCCGTGGAACAGGATGGCTTTATAAGTCAAACACACAATTTCCGATCTGCCTGAAACTTCACATGGTTGATAAAAGTCCTCTCCTGAACATAACTACATGCCAATATTGAGTCACAGTCTTAGCGCCACCTGCTGGCAGAAGGAATTTTGGCTTATAAGTTAACCACACAATGTCTGATCTGCAT